CTCGTCAAGGACCAGGGTGACAAGCTATCGGCGTTCTTGCTCAATACCCCGATACCGAGGGTGGTATCTACGACTTCCAAGCTCTCGGAAACCAGATTCACGAGCAGGGTGCTATGTTCAGTGTTGCAACCGACTTGCTTGCTTTGACTGTCCTTAAGGCTCCCGGAGAGTTTGGTGCCGATATTGCCTTCGGTAACTCCCAGCGCTTCGGTGTCCCCATGGGCTTTGGCGGCCCCCAGGCTGCCTTCTTTGCTTGCACCGAGAAACACAAGCGAAAGATTCCTGGCCGTATAGTCGGTGTCTCCAAGGACAGACTTGGAAACCGTGCCTTGCGTCTTGCCCTGCAGACCCGTGAACAGCATATTCGTCGCGAGAAGGCTACCAGCAACATCTGCACTGCTCAGGCACTTCTCGCAAACATGTCGGCCTTCTACGCAGTGTACCACGGCCCCAAGGGCCTCAAGGCCATCGCCGAGCGTACCATGTCTCTCACTGCTCTGCTGAAGGCCAAGCTGATTGCTCTTGGCTTCAACGTCCCCACCAGGGGTAACGCTGGAGGCGAAGGTGTCGCTTTTGATACCCTTGTCATTGAAACTAGCTCTCAGGCTGAAGCCGACTCCCTCATGGAGGCTGCTCTCGCCTCTTCTCTCTACCTCAGACGTGTCGGTTCGTCCAAGGTTGGCGTCTCCCTTGACGAGACCATGGGATTGAATGATGTCGAGAAGCTGCTTTCGGTATTTGTCAAGTTCTCCCCATACAAGGGCGCTGAAGCCATCGACCTATCCAAGGATGTTCAGCCAGTTGAGATCCCAGACTCTGTCAAGCGAACCTCTTCTTATCTCACCCACCCTGTCTTCAACAGCCACCACTCCGAAACCGAGATGCTTAGATACATCCAGCACCTCGGATCCAAGGATCTCTCCCTCGCTCACTCCATGATCTCTCTTGGCTCTTGCACGATGAAACTCAACGCTACCACCGAGATGTTGCCCATCACCTGGCCAGAGTTCTCCTCCGTTCATCCTTTCACTCCAGCACCCGCCGTCAAGGGCTACATCGACATGATCGAGGATCTCGAGAAGCAATTGGCCAACATCACCGGTATGGCTGAAGTTACCATCCAGCCCAATTCTGGTGCCCAGGGTGAATTCGCTGGACTGAAGGCCATCAAGAAATACCACGACAGCAACGGCGATCCTGGAAAGCGTAACATCTGCTTGATCCCTGTTTCTGCCCACGGAACTAACCCGGCCAGTGCTGCCATGGCCGGTATGCGTGTCGTCCCCGTCAAGTGCGACACTGCAACCGGTAACCTCGACGTTGCTGACCTCCGTGCCAAGTGCGAGAAGCACAAGGACGAACTCGGTGCCATCATGATCACGTACCCAAGCACATACGGTGTGTTCGAGCCAAGCATCAAAGAGGTCTGCCAGGTTGTCCACCAGTATGGTGGCCAAGTGTACATGGACGGCGCCAACATGAACGCCCAGATTGGCCTTTGCTCTCCTGGCGAAATCGGCGCCGATGTCTGCCATCTCAACCTCCACAAGACCTTCTGTATCCCCCACGGTGGCGGTGGTCCTGGTGTTGGCCCCATTGGTGTTGCAGAGCATCTCCGCCCCTTCCTCCCTTCGCACCCTCTCAATGACCACTTGCTCGCCAAACGCCCCGCATCCGTGGATTCTCCACCCATCAGCGCCGCACCTTTCGGCAGTGCAAGCATCCTCCCCATCACATTCGCATATATCAACATGATGGGAGCCAGGGGTCTCACCCACGCAACTAAGATCACTCTGCTTAATGCCAACTACATTCTCTCCAGACTAAAGCCTCATTTCCCCATCCTGTATACTAATGCCAATGGTCGATGCGCTCACGAGTTCATCCTCGACGTCCGCCAGTTCAAGGCCTCCGCGGGAATTGAAGCCATTGACATTGCCAAGCGATTGCAAGACTACGGCTTCCACTCGCCAACCATGTCGTTCCCTGTCGCTAACACTCTTATGATTGAACCCACTGAGTCTGAGAGCAAGGCTGAGCTGGACCGGTTCTGCGATGCCCTTATCTCCATCCGTGGAGAGATCGCTGCCATCGAGCGAGGTGAACAGCCAAAGGAGAAGAACATTCTCAAACTTGCTCCCCACACCCAGCGAGATCTGCTCACTGCCGAGTGGGACCGCCCATACACTAGAGAGGCCGCTGCATATCCTCTCCCTTGGCTGCTAGAGAAGAAATTCTGGCCTACTGTTGCTAGGGTAGACGATGGTAAGTTTTCACCCTTATGATAAATCGACGAATTGGTGATTTAATACTGACTCCTATCACAGCGTTTGGTGACCAGAACCTCTTCTGCACCTGCGGACCTGTGGAAGACGCCACCAACTAGATACCCCGGCGTCCTCGGTCATCATAAATGCTTTTTTTACGACTTGACAATCTTGCATTTGTCTTGCCATTTTTCTCCTTTCTTTTTCCTTTTTCAATCCCGAAAAGTTGAATCTGTTTGCAAGAATATACTTGGAGCCATTCGAGCTTCGGTTTATAATTCACCATTTATCACACAGCTACGCATGTATTCATGTCCTAAATGTCTCAACACAATACCCCCCGGCTTTCTGTATTATTGCCTACTTTCGTTTCTCACTTTAGACCTCCCTTCGATGAATAGAGTCCTGAGAATTTGTTTTCACCTCCAATATCACGTCTAGCTTTCGATTGAATACGAACCTTGATGGAAAATTTGCATCGAACTTCTCATTCAGGCAGGTTGCTAGCACAAGCACCTGCCCACTAGACACTCCCCGTCAGGCTTCTTTCTCCCCAAGAACATCACATCCCACAGGCTTTTAAGCGCGTTTGGCGCTCGGCAAAAACAAAGTAAGGTTAAATAAGCACGCGGCTCTGACCCGCTTTTTACCTAAATAAGTGGGTCCAACCTTCTAGTCGCTTTTTCGTCTTGCTCTTGAATAATGAAAGAAGAGGCAGTTGAATAAAATACATTCAAATAGCAGAGCCTGCCTCAGCTTTGCGCCGAAGTAGCTTATTCCTACGTGACGGCTTACATACTCCCGCGATGGTTTTATGTATCATCTATGGCTGTGCTTCAAATAGTAATGATTCCACGCAGACATTTAGTTCTGTCTTTATTTTCATCACTTCCATCGTTGACTAGTCAGTCGTACGTTCAGATGGACACGAGTCATCTATAACTACTAAAAATCGTCTACTGCTAGTTAGTACTCCTGCTTCCACTACTATGGCTATAATAAGCGATGTATCAAAAGAGTTTCATATATTTATCGCTCCGGCAACGGTTGCATTTCATCCCGAGCTATTAAATGTCGTGCTGTTAAACTGCGTTTCAGCTAAAAGTGCGAGGATATGGGGCTTTATGACGAGTATGATAACGAAATAACCACAAGCAAGGTGAAACTGGTCCTGGGATAAGAAAATACCAAGGACTTCAAGTCAAACAACAAAATGATACAATACATTCCGTAGACATCTATGGGCCGAAACTCATCTTTAGCCCTCCTCTGCAGAGCAGTATACTAAATTCGAGCAATCCCGCAAACTGTTTCTTTGTTCATAATGTCTCAGCAGGCGATGTTATTCAACAAGAGAAAGGCGTCCGAGGATGGATCTATTTATGGCGTCTGTCGCGAGCTGCATCATTACGGCTGATGTACCCCACACAGTCCAAAGGCCAGACTCGCCGGCGACATGTCAATCAGGTAGTAATTTAGGATGCAGGAGTCTCTTCTGGCATGTTCCATCAGCTCAAAAGTTGGAAATATATTGAATAGCAGAAGAGCACGTTATCATTAAAACAGTCATTTTAAAGACATGCACCGCAAACCCGTAGAACTCCGTAGCTTCGGTTAGAACTCAAAGGAAGACAAACAAATAACCCTGGGTAAAGCCGTTGTGAATCAATGCGAGGGGGAAATTTCCAGGTGCCTTTTTGTCTATGTGTACGTTCGTGAGGGCTGTGATGTGGCTATTGATTGACTTGATGTTTGGTTTAGATCCGTTTGCTGGCCAGGCTGATGATTCGACGCAGTTGACTGTATGTAGCCTGGTGGAGGCGACTGTGGCCGCGGAGGAGGTGAAGACGAGGAAGCAAGCGGCTGGTCTAGCTTTGGTGCACCCTGCTCTCGCGGGTAGTACGGGGGAGCTGGAGTATCGAAATGGCGGTCCCTGTCATGTTGCTGGCCTAGATGGGCCGGTGGAATATTCTGTACAGGATAAGCTGGAGCAGCGGCCACGCCGTCAAAATGCTGTGGCATGTTCTGGCTCTGGAGTCGGAAGTTCTGGTGTAGCAGCTGGCCGGGTGCGGCGGCCCTGCTGCGCCGTTGGGCCCGGTAGAAGAGCAGGAAGATCGAGAGCAGCAGCAGAGTGCAACCGCACGCAACAAGCACTAGGTTGACGCTGTTATCGCGCAAGTCTCTCTTGTGGTGTTTGTGCAACGAAGGCCGGAGATGGGCATGCAGGACAGACATCGTTGAGCTTCTGGTATCGAGTTCCAGTAACTAGCGAGCAGGTAGATATGACAGGGCAAAAGGAAGCCTCTCTTTGAAAGCGACAGAGGGGCGGAAAGCGCCTCGCTGGCCTTTATAAGGCTTGATCCGTCGCCCGTGGCAGTGTAAGCATCCCCCCCGGGCCGTATAAAAGTCGCAGTTATGCTGCATGCGTCATGGGGGCCGCAGCATCGTAGGCTCAGGAGCCAGCCTTTGGCGCCTAGCATGGTCTCGTAACAAAGATGTCACATCCTGCCGGCTCCGTGTAAGCAGCGTGCGCCCGTCTACGCTGTCGCCCGATCGAACCCAGCTGTCTCGTGCTCTTTATTGGCCTGGAGACGGATGCTCGGGGGGTTGTTAGGGGATGGCGCAGTGATTCAGCATGGCCGCATGGGGCTCCTGTTTGCCAGGAGCTGCATCGCATCAAGCAATCCCGAGCTTCGTCCAACCCAGGAGAGCGAGATCTAGACATCCATCGGCCTGGTAAGTATCGCTGGATGTGGCCGATCTCTGCTGGTCTTCCCGTCGTCGATTAGTTAACCGCGGGTGGCGTTGCGGGCGAAGATTTAGCGACCGCCGATGGCTTGTCGTTAGTTAAAATGCCGAGCATATATAAGAGTCACCGGCAGGGCGTCCGTCTTCTGGCTGGCTGGGAGATAGAGCAACTCGGTGGACAGCAAGCCGGGCATCAGACTGGACTGCCCGCCTGTTTATCTGTTTGGACCGCTGCCGGCGCCCCTGCATACACCTAGGAAGAAGACATGGACCAGGACCAGTTCCGCTCCGCCGCGCATTCGGCAGTGGATGAGAGTACGCCCTACCCCCCCCCCCCCCCCCCACTACCCCTCGAACAGCTATACAGGTCTCTAGAACGAGTGCTAAGGTCTTCTGCAGTCATCCAATACTTCGCCGGCCTGTCGTCGCAGCAGGTCCTGCCCGACGTCGAGCCCGGCTATCTCAAGGGCCGCCTGCCCGCCGCCGCGCCGCTGGAGGGAGAGCCATGGAGCCAGATACAGGCGGACCTGGAGACGCTGGTCAAGCCGGGCGTGACGCACTGGCAGTCGCCCAACTTCATGGCCTTCTTCCCGGCGACGGTGACCTACCCGAGCATCCTGGGGGAGATGTACTCGGCCGCCTTCAACGCCCCGGCCTTCAACTGGCTGTGCTCGCCCGTCGTCACCGAGCTCGAGATCGCCGTCATGGACTGGATCGCAAAGGCCCTGGGCCTGCCGGACTGCTTCCTCAGCACCTCCCCGACCCTCGGCGGCGGCGTGATCCAGGGCAGCGCCAGCGAGGCCGTCATCACCGTCATGGTGGCTGCCCGGGAGCGGTATGCGAGAGACATGGCGAGGGCCGAAGGGCTGGACGAGGGCTCCGAGCAGTGGGAGGACCGGCTGATCGAGATCAAGTCACGACTGGTCTCGCTGGGCAGCGACCAGGCGCACAGCTGCACGGCCAAGGGGGCCCGGATCGTGAGCACTCGTCATAGGACTGTCCCGACCCGGCTGAAGGACGACTTCGCCATGACCGGGGATGCGCTGCGGGAGGTGCTGGAAAAGTGCGAACAGGACGGGCTGACGCCGTATTACCTGACCACCACGCTGGACACGACCAGCACCTGTGCAACGGACAGGTTCGCTGAGATCAAGGCCGTCTTGAACGAGCGCGAGTCGTGGAAGAAGATCTGGGTGCATGTCGATGCTGCCTACGCCGGCGCAGCGCTCGTCTGTGATGAGTACCAGTACATCACCGCGGACTGGAGTGAGGGCGTCGACAGCTTCAACTTCAACATGCACAAATGGCTGCTTGTCAACTTTGATGCAAGGTCTGTTATATTCTACTTTATTGAGATGACCCTATCTATTCCCCTAATACATTAAAATATTGTATATATACTAACAAATGGTGATAGCTGCCTGTTCATACGCAACCGGTTGGATCTGACCTCTGCCCTGGACATCACTCCTCACTACCTTCGAAACCCGCATTCTGATGCCGGTGCAGTTACGGACTACAGAAACTGGCAGCTCCCCCTGGGACGACGCTTCCGGTCCCTGAAGATCTGGTTTGTGCTGCGGTCGTACGGCATCAAGGCCATGCAGGCGCATATCCGCAAAGGCATAGACCTCGGCATGACCTTCGCCGGCCTCGTCCGTAACCAAAGCGACTTGTTCGAGCTGGTGACCCCCCCGGCCTTTGGGCTGACGGTCTTCCATGTCACCGAGGCTGCTGCTCGGCAGGTAGCTGGTGGTGACAGCAATTCGGTCACCCGCGAGGTGTACGAGCGTGTCAATGCCGGCAAGGAGGTTTTCCTTACCTCTTCTGTTGTTGAGGGATTGTATGTCATTCGAGTGGTGAGTGCTAACGAATTGGCGGGAGAGAAGTATGTGAGAAATGCATTTGATATACTTGTCCGGGTGACCAGGGAGGTCCTTGATAGCCCGTCAAGTGCCGAGAAGGTAAAGAATTGAAAGAAAGGAGAAGAAAAGAAAAAAGAAAAGAAAAGAAAAGAAAATAAGAAAGAAAACCTCTAGATGGTAGAGCTACTGATAGACCTCCGCTCATGGGCCGTTTGGCTACATAGCTTGACTGTACGTTTGACCCTTTTTAGAAATGAAAAAATCTATACTTTGATTAGGAACTAAATGCTGTCTATTATCCGTCATCTCACGTTCACGCTCTCATGCATATATCTATGGTCATATCCTTCACTGGCCCCAGATGGCAGTGATCATGCCGTTGATGATATCAAAGGTCTCCTGGGGGCGGCTCAGGTAAGGGCTGTGGCTGGCCTCGATGTCCTTGATGTTCCAGTCAAGGCCGCTCTTGTCCAGCATCATGGTCTGGATGGCAGCAGGGACACAGCGGTCCTGGGTGGCGCGGATGTATCCTCGTCGGCCACCGTTGTAGAACTCCTCCTGCCAGGCTGGAGCGGAGCTGGAGCTCTTCAGGACAGACATGGCCTGCTGCTTAAGCTGGCCAGCAGCCTTTGCAGCAACGTCGCCCGGGACATCGTGGAAGAGGACATCAGTTGGGTTGTCGAGCGTAAGCTGGCCAGTGGCCTCCTATCCATCATGTTAGCAAGTCTACGTATATTAATGTCAGTGAGAACATACATCGACGTTGACAAAGTCGTCGAACTTGCCGCCCAGGGCATCAAAGAGAGACATGCTCTCCTTGGCCAGGAAGCCGGCGATGAAGATGAGGCCGACGACGCCGCCGCTGGAGCCACGGTCTTTCTTGCTGAGGCCGGCCGCGGCTACGCTTCCAACACAGCCGCCAAAGGAGTGCATGACGAGGACGACATTCTTGCCGTCGTCGAGCAGAGGGAGCAGCAGCTTCTCGCGGAGATAGGCGGCGTTGGAGGCGACGGTCTCGTCCTTGGGAGCGGCAGAGTCAACGCCGGGCAGCTGGAGACAGGCGGTTGGGTAGCCGGCCTTTTCGAAGATAGCGAGGAACTCCTCGTAGTGTGCTGGGGTGTGCCAGGCACCGGGGACCAAGGCGATAGTTGGCTTAGACATGTTGTATATAGGTGGATGGAAGGGGGGTTGTTTTTATAGTGTTGCTGTATTGTTTTGGATGATGATGATGCTGATGCTGATGATGATGGACAGAAGACCTTCGATCGAGGGGTATAGACAGGCCTCTTTATATCTCCAGATTCACCCAGGCGAGGCTGGCTGATACAGGCCTTTTGCGGGTTTCCGGACCAGCAATGCATGTAGCTGATGATGTTTCCTTCGGGAAAAGGGCCATCTTCAGCCTGGGAAGTACCAGCCAGCGCGGGGGATAAGTGGTATATTCTGACTGCTGTTCGCCAGTTCTCTCTCGGTAATATCGATGCTGTTCCAGGATATCGCCGTCTTCTCTGGATGAAACCAAGCTGGTGGCCAGTTGCTGGTCAAAGTATATAAAAATCTCCGTGTTGGCCGGGATAAATAAGGAGGTAACCAGTTCAGGGACTGCGAGCTGAGGTTGCTGAAGATTAAATAAATTGAATTGTCGACATGCTATCTATCCCTTCGGGTCTATCTGCATATGAGATCTAATAGTTATTGTTTTTATCTCTGTTCCGATCTTCTTTTTCAATGGTTGATGGCTCTTTTCAATTGGGCGTAAATACCCCGGGGACCCTAGGGATAGCTTGATGGCGTGCAGTGATGATGATGCACTTCGATGCACTACATTCGACTCTCTTGGACGAGGTCTATGCCTCAGCCCTGGCGAAGAACGAATAGGGGACGACGGACATGGGCGGCCTGCGGATGACCGGGAAGATCCACGGCGGCATGCACCACATTGCCCAGCATATCAACCACAGAAAGCCGACCAGCTTCATCCATAGCGCCGGCTCCTTCTTCTCTAAACTCCGTGCCTCATGGCGGGAGAACGAGCCCGTCGTGATCCAGCGGTAGATGCCACAGACGGCGTCCTCAATGAGGATCCCCAGCGCCTGCACAGTGAAAAACGTCACTATCGCGGACTCCCGCAGCGGGACACCCTGCATGGTGTCGATGGGCAGATGCAGCAATCCCGAGACCAGGAAAGCCATCTGGATCCTGACGTATCGAATGAGCAGCAGCAGGATCTTGGACTCGGGCGCAACGCTGTCTGCCAGGGGGAGGCGTAGGATGGAGTGCGTTATGAAATAGCTGTAGTCGACGAGAAGCACCCGCAACTGTCGGTGCCATACCACGCTGTCAGGCAATTAGCAAGACTTGAATGATATATAATAGTTATATAGAGAGAGTACATGGGGCTACTCACCCCCATAGGTTCCTGATGGAATAGAGCCTGGTCAGGGGCCCGAAGAAAGGGGGCCAGTCCTGCGCCCGGCTGAATCCCAGGCCGACAGCCAGCAGCGACACCAGGTCCGAGATGGTGAGCAGGTATAGATAGCCAGACGCAGCGTATCCGACGATCGAGCCCAGCGTCTCTCCGAAATCCTCGCCCGAGAAGTCTCCAGCGACGATGCGCGAGAGGATCTGCTCCTTGCCGGGGCCGAACTTGACGTCTGCGCCCTCGAGGGACTGGCTGCTGATGAAGTCCAGCGCCAGATAGCCCAGCACCAGCCGAGCAGCCCTGAAGACGAGAAACTGCCGCCTCGACGTCCTCCTCGCCGTCTCGCGGGAGACTTCTGTATACCCTTCGCGCCCTCGGTCCGGAGAGGAGACTTCGCAGAGCCACGACACTGCCCGGCCGACCCTAGCAGTCCACGGCAGCCTGTCCGCCGTTTTCTCGCCGTCCTTTTCATCGCCGGCCGAAGAGGAAGAGCCCGAGTCTCCAGGATAGGCCGCCTTGGAGATGCAGAGGAGGTCGAACATCTCCAGGGCCAGGCGCGGGCCGTAGCCGACGCCTAGGACGAAGTTGAACGGCATGACGGGGGTTGCGTAGACGGCCATCCGCGAGACGAAGAGCGTAGGGAGGACCAGCACGGGGAGAAGCCATGCTCGCAGCGGCGAGGTCGGGGGCACATGGACGAGGACGAGGAGCAGGAGGAGATACGCTGTTGCGGTGGCCAGGAGGCAGGTCGTGAAGGCGTAGCTGTAGCTGTAGCTGTAGCTGTAGCCGGCGGCCATCCTTAGCATCTACACACAGCTACACTCTGTCAGCTCTTCACTCTTCAGCTCTTCAGCTCTTGCGAGAGCCTGAGAGAGGCGTCCATCTTTGATTATATACGTCCAATATATTAATTGCTTTGGCCGCGATCCTCCGAGAAATGCAATATCAACTACGGGAAAAAGCCACCATATCCACCTCCATACATAGTCACCTATCTAGCTGCATGAAGTAAAGCATTCCTGGGGCTTTATTCTCCTTTTCCTCCCGTGTTACCTTCTGTCGCTTGCATTTTATATCTTGTTTACTCCGTAGCCTCTCCTTTATTCTTATACAAAACACTCAATCCTAACCCCCTAGCCCCTGAGACCTACCCTAAGCGCAACTTGACAGTATGACTTGAAGCTATAGTGGAAGAAGAGAGAACAGAGAATGAATTGCAAGGGAATATTTACTTTGTACAGTTGAGCAGGTGGATATGGCGGTATTTCTGCATACCAAGCGCTCAAAAGGGGCCTTCAGGGAAGATGCCTTGATAGCAGTCAATGGCCGTACGGAGTAGCGTGTCACTCACCAAGTATATACGCCTTGATCCTCCAATATTATCATCTTGCATATACGGCGAGGCCGATATAGTGGCCCGACTCCACGAGCCCATGCGTAATGCGGTTGTTAACCATATATATAGGCAGGTGTATGTAGCTACTCTCAATCATACACAATACATCGGCAAGAAGATAGCGATGAATGGCTGCTGTATCTCAAAGATAATCCCACACGACAAGTAAATGTCAAGAAGGAAAATTTGCATCAAGGCCGACTAGTTTTTGATTAATACGATGGATTTTAACTAGGATGAGCCTGCATGGCCAGCTCGCTTGTTAGTTGACTTGGCTGGTTAAACGACTGAACGGGAGGATCACCATTCCTTCAGCAAGCTTGGAGGTCGCGAGAGAAAAGGAGCTTGATGAAGGAAACAAGCTAGTTATCTATTCAAGCGCTTCATGCCCCGATCCTCCATGACTCCTGTCAACAAGCTCAACTGACAAGCCTTTCCTAGCTGCCATCAGGGGGTTACCCGCTGGCGCTAGCAGCCATCGACTATTACGAAACCAAATTATTTGATTATTCGTCACTCCAAAGGGAGCCATGAATATATCCATCATTAACATTAAATATCTATCTACAGCGCGAGGTAGCGAGAGCACTCTACTTGCTACGCCACCTGCTCAGGATGATCGCACGATAGACCACTCTGCGACTGTTGCACCGGTTCCATTGCCGGCTCTGATTTCCACAGGACCCAGGGCTTGGTTACCCCTGATCAGAAGAGTCGCAAACTTCGTAGCTGGCACAGTCGACGGCAGCGTCACGTTGGTCGTGTTCCCTTTGTAAGACATGATCATGTTGAGATCGATTTTGATCGGGTCATACGGATCGGACAGTGGAACCTTGGCTGATTCCCACACGGTCACGGAACCGGCGGGTGTGGTGGGCGAAGAGCTACTGGCGTCACCATCCTCAGCATCCATTACCGGATGCAGTGGTTCGTCGTGTAGTACAACTTTCGCGCTGACAGGTGGTGCCTGGGCCCAGTCAAACGCGAAGCCGGAAATGGTTGCAGAGGAAGCATAGTCCGGTAACGTGACTGTTAGCGACGAGGTAGAGCTGGAACGTCGAGGCTGCCACTTTGTCGACGCTGCTCCGTCGACGGCCGAGATGGGGAATTGTCCGGGAGCGAACTCGTTGGGGGAGAACACCGGCTGGCACTGGACAAGGTTGCCTGCAAGTGTGTTGATAGAGCCAATTTGGCGGTTGGGGATAACCAGCTGTCCGCTTGGAGGCAGCGAGTACACCGTAATGTTGTTTGCTGATCCGACATGTACGGTAATAGGGGAATTAGCGTACTTTGGATCAGCACTGGCGAGCGGTCGTCGGTTAGTGGCTCGCTGGATCGTGGTCTGCGTGTAGTTGGCGCTGGCTTCAAGCGGCCAGCCATGCCAGTAAAAGGTTCTATACCGTATATGAGGGATTTGAGGAGGCAGGTTGGGGTTCAAGTGCAGTATCCCGTCAGGTATCAGGCGTAGACCCAGGTAGCCAAACACCGCAACCTGGTTGGCTCCGCCATTGCCTGTAAGGAATGGGTACGCTGGGTGTGTTCCTCCGTTGATAGACCAGTCATCCACCAGTTGCTCCGAGAACTGGAAGAAGGGGGCTCGAACATACGGGCTGAACGAATATTGCCCATAGGTATACGCTGAACAGCCCGATGGAGATACCTCGTTGGCAACGATGGAGAAGATGGCATATGTCATTGCTGGTCCGTTTGGTGATTGCTTTGCCGCATACTATATCTTTTGTTAGTCAACAGTTAAACTAAGTGTAAGAAAATATCCCATACATAGTCTAGGTCACGCAGGGCATTATCATGTGTATAGTCCTCGGTATAGCGCAGTGGGAAGGTATTTAGGACAATGTCTGCCTGCTTCACCTGCGTGCTTCCATTCATAGTCGTATATTCCAACGTGATTTGAGAACCTGGATCTCTGGATACTTGCACATTTTTTGCTATCTCATTCCAGGTCTGGTTCACTCCGAGGCCAGACATTTCCCGGAACTGGTTGGCGTATTTCAGCGTAGTTGCAATCAGAGGCATTGTATAGCCACCCCCGTCAACCAAATTGGCATATTCGTCCTGTTCCTAGTTAGTGGGCTGATAGCAAGACAGAATATATAGATAAAATACCGGGTCTGTCATGTTGGTTACTGTCCATTTCGTTCCATTCTTCTCTACCAGCTGGGAGAAGAAGGTAGCAATAGAGTTGTACACTGGAAAGAGCTTCGACTTAAAGTGTTCGGTATCGCCAGTGGTTACCAAGTTGTTGACAATTTGCATTCCAATGTCACCATTCAGATGATACTGGTAGTCAAAACACGGGCCAGTAGCAGTGCAATTGGCAAATCTGCCGCTCGTCCAGGGATATACTGCAGCGTCTGGAGAGAAATAGGTATCGTTCTTGGAGGAGAGATACTGTGTTTGAGCATTTCTCAAAGCCTGGCTGTACTTGTCGACTCTATAGTTGGAGAATATCTGTGATGCTTCGGGAAAAGCTACCACAAGACCAGGCTGCATCCATATATCTGCATCCCAGAACACCAACCCGCCATAGGAATCGGAAGTCAGCCCGCCGACAGCGATACTACCGCGATTAAGGGGTGCGTTCTTTACGGCGGCCAGAGCATTGTTGCTGACAGTTGATTGCAACAGGTAGTATGGATTCACCACGGACACAATAGAAGCCTCGATGATATGGTGGTCGAGTGGCAGCCATTTTTTCCGGGGTATCGTGTAGTCCTCCGTAGAATCACTAGGGAAGACAGTAGCCCATTCAGCGATGTGAGATTTTAGGCTCTCTTCGTAGCCTGTCCGTAGCGCCCTTGCCGACGCTTCTTTGGCAGCCTGTCGGGGATTTTTGAAGCCGTCCGTAGATGCAGCGCCCACGAACTTGTCTATCTTTGTAGTCTGGCCTGCGCGCAGTTTCACATTCACACTTTGGGCGATCGTAGATCCGTTCATATGAATATATGGCTTATCATCCACTAGTGAAGACGAAGACAAATCTACGCCTTCAGTACCTGATACTTCAGCATAGATAAACGCAGTGACATTGCTGATGCCCTCGGGGTTAACAGAGGTGTAGATGGCACCTCCATCTTGACCTGAGCCCTTGAAATCGGTTCGAACCGCAGAGTACCCGTCGATAACGTTGACCACGCTCACATTCCCATCTCCGGATGGAGTTATCTCCATGCGCACGAGGGCTTGGTTGACATGGAGTTTATGAGCAACCAGCTGGTAGAAGATATCGTATGTTCCATTGTGCTTCTCTGGACTCCAGGTATACTGCCAGGTGAGAATTCCTCCTTTCATGTCAAGCGTGGAGGAGAAGTTGGAGATGGTTGAATTCTTAACAGTGGCGTCGAGAAAGTTGCCATCACCAAGGTCCAAGATCAAACCAGACCAGTGCGGAACACCACTGATGAGATCGCCTCCATACTTGTCCAGCCACGGGAAGTTCGTTGCATTGATACTACACTGGAAGCTGTAGAAATCAGAGATGGTAGCAAACGTCTGTCTGCGCGAAAACACCGGCCATCCGTTGATCACATCTCCAGATACGGGGATGTCGAGCTCAAAGAACGGCCCGACAGCAGCAACGTTGATGCCCAGGTATCCATTTGCAACAGATCCTCGGGACTGATAGTGGCCCTGGTCAAGCTTTGTGGTCGTCAACCTCCAGTTTGCAACATCCCAGGTGACACCTTTGAACCTAGTGGCATAACCGGGCTGCTCATTACCGGAGCTTCCGTTTCTCGCTGCCGAATTCCGGGCAAATACACCAGAATTCCTCTCAGCGTCGGTCTCAGCTGTAGCTGCGGTTATTATTGACAGCAACCACAGTATGCATGCAACAAGATTCTACGGCTCATCGGTTAATTCTCATTCGTGAAGAGGTAAATACATATCGATCGAAGTCTGTGCAACTCACGATACTTGGTTGTTTCATGATTATAACTAGCTAAACATCCGCCAGCTTGCTCGTCGAGGTGTCGTCAAGAGACCGAACCAAGGAGAGGCGGGAGGCTTAGTTATATTCACGGCCACACGACAGCTCGCAGCAGGGAAGCCCTGGCAGTGGCACGCAAGGTGCCGACGCAGCAATGTTACCTTAGCCGTCCATTATTATTCTGGTTTGATGGTTGAAATACGGCACAGGAACTGGCATGTCATTGGCACCGAGCCCGTATTTGAGTTGCTTTTTCTTTTCTTTTCTTGCTTCTCCACGGCATGATAATATGTCGATGACCCAATCCCGCCATGCACGAGAGAGTTGCCTGCAACCAACCTAGCCCCGGTCGTTAAGTTGGCCAAACCCGAGAGCTAGTTAGCTAGCCGAACCAGACTGCTCTGTATAGGACTTGGTTATAGATATTATTTTGTTCAAATTGCGAGGAAGTTCCAGAGTTGTTGTTGGAAGCCAAAGACGGGAAAGATGACGTCACGTGGCGGCCCGAGCCTGCCCAGAAGTTTATGTAATGGAACCTTATTATAGAGATCACGTGCGGATGATGTCATCAGCTGCGTCGTCGACTTCTGTCTTTTTCAACATCCAACAACGACTTCTCTTTGCAACGACATCACACTGGCTTCCTAGGCATACGTGATGATAGACAGGGCGGAGGACACACGTATGCTGCTCAGACTGCTGAGTCGAGAGGCGAGATGATGGCTACAAAACCCTTCCTCCATCACAAATACAGCTTTAAGGATTGAATGAGACGAATGAGACCTAAACCGACAAAAACACATATTTCTGCAATTACAGGCATATATAGCCATATATAGCTGCAATCGGCCTCGACACTACAGACCAAGAGAACTGCCTCCTGACTCCACTATTGTCTCCCTTTCCATTGATTGTACTGATCCTGATAACTTCCTAGGGAGCTTGCTAGCTGGACCAGACAAGCTTGGAATGACGATCCCAAAGTTGAGCACAGACCTAGGAGTCCTGGGGGCGTTTGAGCTGACGAGCTTAAGTTGAGGGATGCTTGTTGGCCCTCGAACTCTCTGGCAGGGATTGTACCGGTCAGCAGTTATACGAGGTTTCCAGCCCTTTAGTTAACTCGCTATTTGATGGTAAATTGAACCAGAATTGTTGCCCAGAATGTTTAGATATTATGGCTTAGGAGGCGCTATCGATGCAACTACTGATACGGCTGTAGCTCTCCTCACACATCTTCCGCTTCTCCTTCAGACTCTCATCGAGTACAACCTGCCGGACACGTCGTGCCAGGGCTGCGATTGACTCAAATTTCCCATGCCAGCAGTCGTAAATGATTGCATCGATCGGGTCACTTTCGACATTTAGCTCCGGGAATTTACATCCTATAAGCCTATTGACCCTTTCCGCACCGTCTATATCCGCATACAACTCAGTCCCTCGACTCATGAACCAAAACACAGAGCCCAGCGCAAACTGCTCGGTATCCGGCCCAGCTATCCCATAATCCTCCTTTCGGTGACGAACATATGGCTCAAATCCCACTTCTACGGTCTCTCCAACCTTGAGTGAATGGTCATAGTCGATAAATCGAACCTGGTCTTCGTCATCAAAGAGGATGTTTCGTGGGTTGATATCTCCGTGTGCATATCCTACTGATTCCAGACAGGCTGCGGCATCACAGAGCTTCTGCATCCATCGCAGCACAGGGTAGAGTTTGTCGGCTTTTCATAGGCGGTCGTATAGGGTGCCATTTGGGAATAGCTCCAGAAATATCACGTCTGGCCCGGTGAAGAGGGAGTGGGCTATGTGCTGGCATGGCTCTGAAGGAAGCAGCTTAAAAACAGACTGTTCGTGATGCAAGTGTTCCCCACCTGGTGTATACGAGATTTTAACGCCGATGTTGTCTGCAACTGATATAAGGACGGAGTGTCCTCCCACTCCGTAGATGATAGAGCCGGCAAACTGAGTCAGGACCCGTTGGATCAAGGGGTTGAGGTTTTCAGGGGTTACTGGAGACGAGGAGTGGCGAGTGAGTTGGCCAACAACCTCGCAGAAGTACTCGTATGTGAGATTGAGCCTTGGCATGCTAGCTATCTGGCTGGAGAGAAGATGTGGACAAGCCACCAGGATTCTCGACAAAGATGGTTGTGGAGGAAGTTCTTGTGTTTATATTGGGAGCCGGATATAGCGAGTCAGGGGCAATTGAAGGTTACGACGTAATGTGCATCTGATTGGTCAGATTCAGTGATTTATGCATAATCTTTCTGAGTCATCAGAGTTATGCACCAAAACCGACTCATTTTAATAACTCCATAACACACGCAAAGACGCTTCTTCATCGACGTTCGGAGAGAAGAAAAACACATTGGATCAACTTTCAGTATACAGTTGCTATCAGCCTGCATTCTTAAGCCACTTAGATGTGTCACATCTCATGGTGAATGCAAGGTAGTCTGGCTAGGGAACTCCCGCGGTTTTGCATGCGCCCTGGTTAGCAGGGGCAGCGACAGGCGACAGAAGGAATGACAAACTACAACAGTTGCCTGAATATCGGACATGTTTAGGTGTCCTTCGACAGATATCATCAGTCCACCAACACATAAACATCAGGATGAATTATAGAAAACATTTCATTCCCCTAGAGTCTGATCCAAGCATATTCACGGATCTGATGCACAAACTCGGGGTCTCAACGTCTTATGCGTTCCTCGATGTTTGGTCACTAGAAGACACAATAGATATCCCACGGCCTGTCCTTGCGCTTCTTCTTATACTACCGTCCTGTCCAGAATACGAGAAGTCCCTAGTAACGCACAAGGATTGCGATGCTAGCAATAAGGAGGTCATATGGATGAAGCAAACTATTAACAACGCGTGTGGCCTCTATGGGATTCTTCATGCTGTTTGCAATACACCCGGGATAATTGGTGAGTGATACCTTTTTAGGGGTTATTTCCCATATTGCCAGTATATATAGCTGTTTTACTCACTACTTTTGCATAGACGACGGCTCTGTTCTTCATAGGCTGATTCAACCCGCGTCTTCCGACCGCAATGCCTTTCTAGAAGACTCAAAAGAGGTAGAAGAGCTTTATCAAGAGGCAGCACTCGTTGGTCGCTCCGAAGCTCCACCCGCTGAGAGCGAAGTGGACCATCACTATCTATGTTTTGTCAAATCTTCTGGCCATCTGTATGAACTCGACGGAGATCAGGAAGGGCCCATTGACAGAGGAAGCCTGCTAGAGGAGGACCCCCTTTTGGAGGCAGGGATACAGGCTATGAGAAATTACGTCAATAGCAAAACCGATGGAGCCTTTGCACTACTGGCATTGGTTAAGCGTCGATCGCTATGCTTCTGGCTCATTGTATGTGTTTAATCAAAAGAGAGAGCTAAAGAAGAGCCCAAGGAGAGAGTAAAACTATTGGGTTTTTATCTAATAAATACACTCTTTCCGAAGTCAAAGTTCTTAGTATATATTAGCCCCTGACTTACCACATGTATGCAGTAATGTGCTATCAAATAAACGATAACTGATTTAATGAGTCATTCGCAGTTTCACCGTCTAGTTGCTTCCCGAGCCACGGACCTTGCTTAGGAAGCGGACCACGACTTTACACAGAGAAACTCCTTTAGCTTTTACAAAAGCTATTTCACCTTCCACGCTGCAGTCGATTTTGTTAGATAGGCTTCCCTTGTTGTAAGCAAACCGAATAGCCGAGCCGGATACGGAGAGACACTAGAGATAAGAGGAAGGGAAGGAGGAAGGGGTTTTTACAGCCTGGCGGACGCGGGGGCAAGCATGGGAAACGTTTCCCAAAGTAAAGAGAAATTAAGTAAGGAGCGAAGGAAGGGTGAAAGAAGAGGGCAATGAAGGAGCTTTGTTGGGGAAGAAATCCATAGCACTGGCGTACTGGGAAAGGGTGCTGAACCCGTGTGATACCGCTGTATGCATCACTCCGGGCGTTGGATTGAACATTGCCTCGCAGTGCATTACAGCCGACAAGAAGGCGTCTTTCAAGCAGCAAGCAAGGGACTTTGTGCGGCTTTCCCAGGCTGTCATACGTTATCCTGGACTTAGAGCCAACGATCCACTAAGGAATTCAAGACAAGGGGGGCGGCATTTTGTTCCAGAATCCTGACACCGGCGATCTTGGGCTGCTGTACTATGACCTGGCTCATTCGGACATTTGTGGATTGTGAAAATGGCGGGACAAATTGGGCGGGGGAAGTGAAACGATTTGTATGACACGGGTACTGAAAGCATAGACGACTTGCTCGTGCTGTAGAGCTGGCCATGTTTCTCGCCCCTAAACATTCTTCTTTTTGAACCTTGACGGAGGGGATATTCATGGGTATTTGGATGGTTCAACGATGGCGATTGGTGGCCATTGTATTCGGATTCATTACTGTATAAACTCGGCAGTATCAGAAGGTCAGTCCTCATTCTCTGCAGCTCGACCAGTTGCTCTTGATCTTCCACGTGGTGGTTGGCCCGTAAGCGCACGCTCGCCAACGAAGCAATCCCCGGTCCAGCGAGTTTTACAAACAGGGCAGACTTCAGCCTGCTGCAACCTGAAGAAGTTGCGAATGCAGTTCTGATGCAGACGACCCGAACATCGGCGAGTTGAACATCGTTGGCCCTAAAAAGAAAAAAAAAATAATCTTGAGTCACATAGAAAAAAAAAAGAAAGAAAGAGGGATATCATACCACTGTTATAATTTCTTTGCAGGCAAAACACGTCTTAATCCTGTTGTTTCGGTGAGTATCCCCATTCTCATCTTCCTCTTCATTATAAGTCTCAACCAGCCATCCTCGAAGCTCCATTAATGCTCTGGGTGAGAGACTGTAGTACCCCCGACTCATCTCCAGCCAGCCTTCCGCTACCAAACGGCTCAGCATGCCTTCGGCCTCTCTCATGCTCAATGGCTGCGCGGTGCCGCTCTGGGGAACTCCCTCCGATTGTCTCCGGTTCAAATTGGCTCCCGTACGGGCAAGTCTAACGGCCTCAATGGACGAGACGACCATGGCTTCGCAGCGAGAGGTGTTGTTGGACTCAAACATGGCATCGAGCAGACGCTTGACATAGGCGATCTCATCTGCGCTGTAGGTCGTGGCAAGCTGCATCATCGGGTCGCTGGTGGTGTTTATGAGGGCGTACACGCGCGATTGCTGTGTCTGGTGAGCAGTGCTGCGTATCTCAAGGTCAAAGGCCGATATGGCTGTGTTGATGGCTGCTATATAGGTATTCAGGTCCGTTTGGGTGATGTCTCCCGGCGAGATCTCCCTCCCTTCTACAACCCCTCGCTGTCAGCACTTGTTGACGGATGGATAGATGATAAGCAGTATGAACTTACCGCTCACAGTAAATATAGCAGCAAGAACTGGTTTGGCCTCCTCCAGCGTCATCGTCGACCGCGACATGAAGGCCTGCAGAAACGCGCGGTGGCTGTGATTGTACCCGTCGTCCGCCATCGTAGTTCCGCCAGGCAATTTCCCCCCTATTCCCTCCTTCTTTTGCTTCGGTTTTATGTCTTCGTCTTCTGCTTTTCAACAGCCTCGAAAGGAATCAACTTGTTTGTTTTTGTCTGCTGCTCGTAGATCCTCGTCGCGCATAATGCTAAATCTGCGTGTAGTTTAAGTAGTTAGAGGATTAAGGTTAAGAAGAACAGAGTTAAATCCAGGCACCGTTCGAGCCTCATCCCGTCAGTCCCGACAACACAGAGTAGTTGGCAGCCTCAGCCTTGAAATTCCCTGTGATATACAGGAAGCTGGTTAATTAAGGGAGCTCATTAACCCCTCAAAGCTCCTCTGCCAGACATCCAGCGTCCAACGACACGTCGCCTGTGCTCTGACTTGTTACCCCTGAGCCCAATCGCCCACGTCTACATGAGTTTTAACTAGGCTGAACATTGAACACGAGCTGGGACCAAACATCTGGCATCCTGATAGACGGTAGAAGTAGATTTCACAGTGATACCCTTTGGATGCCGGTCTATCTTTGTGGTCAACTCCCAAACCACAGCATTTCACCCGCTGTAGTCGTTCTCCTTTCCACGCCAAAATCACCAGGTGCCAGCGTCCCAAGGCCAGGGCATGTTTGTGCTCTGTTATAGCTCGTGGAGTATATGAGAGAAGCGAGACGGATTCTATACCGACAAAGAAACCAGATGCTATGGGCGACTTTGAAGAAGATTGAACGTTTTCTCATGGACTTTGAGCGCTCGAAAACACCCCTTTTAGGCGGGTGACCAAGGCCGCAATACTATCAATACATCTCATGAACAACATTGAAGACGAAGAATGCATCAACTACGTGATATTAGAGCTTGCTGCGAGCCAGGTCTGCGGCTAAGCCAAGTCTGCTCACGTCGGCACTGGGCTCCATGCCGGAAATCATCTCTGCCATCACCTTACCCGTCCCCAGACTGAGCGAGATACCCCAAGGACCATGCCCGGTGGCCATGAACAGCCCACCAGAAACCCGGCCTGCAGTCCCTGTGATGGAATCCTGCAGACGGGTAACGATCGGCAGCCCGGATTCTATATACGGGCGGAAGCAGAGAGCCTCTCGAACCACCTCTAGATCGTCGATGTTTTCTCCCTCCAGGCCGTCTTGGGGACGACCCATCAGTATACGAGCTGCCTCTCTCACACGGGCTAATTTGTCCTTTGTCATGAGAGAATGAGCATCAGTGGCTACCTCCGGCAGCGGGATGTCCAGTCCGTTCAGACCTGCAAGGTATATCTCCGCGTTGGTTCTAGAGAATACCTCTGGGCTGAACCCACACGACTGCGGATGGGTGGTGAATACTGCATGACTCTTCCCTCCATAGACCTCTTGCTCCTGGCTCAAGGTATGGCGAGGAGAGCGGAACACAAGAGAGTACCCGGAGAGCGACAAGACGGGAATATGCGCCTTGGAAAGCGGGAAGAGTGAGCTGAACGCCCGAGGAGTCCACGGCCCAGCAGCAAAGACAATATTAGTGCATGGGAGGCTGCGTCTTGTGTGAGCCTTGGTATCTTCTATGACCACCTCAGATATCACTCCCGATTCTGAATCTTTGGTCGTGGATACAGCTCTGGCTGGGTTGTGGACCTGTACGCCTCGCTCAATGCATCTGGCGAGCATAAATTTGCACAGCCGTAAGGGGTCTCTGCAGCATGTTTCTCGGTTAGATGCTGTGAAAGAACAAGTTATAAAGACAGCTCGGGACCGATTGGCTTGACTAACACTTGTGCGACAGAGTTCTTGCTGCTAATCCTCTCTACCGTACCGCCTTTCTGTCTTGTCAGCCATGCGGGCGAAGGATACTCTTCGTTTGCCGTCGATCCGCCATCCCCCTTGTCCTTCGATGCAGCTTCCGCCCGGCTAGCCCCCCGACGAAGCCAGTCATCGCCCCTCGCCGTTTTCTTCCCATCCAAACCCTCAACCTGAAGACTCAATGCGATGCTCGGCATGTATCCCCATCTTGCTGTTCCATCGTGCTCGGCGGCGAGCCGCTGGTGCAAATCAAACGACAACGCACCCAGCTGTTCTAGTTCTGGAGCATACCAGTCCCGAGCAATGAATCCTGCTGCATAGCCCGATGCACACGAGAACAGCTCTCCAGATGAGTCAACAATGTGAATTTCTGCTGGATGTTTCTTCTGTACCTCTGGGTCAGAAAGGAAGTACGCTATGGAAACGCCAATAATTCCGCCGCCGATTATAACGGTCGACATGTTGCTGTCCCTGGAGCCGGTTGGTGCTGGTGGTCACTCTAAAACGGCCTCCCAACACTTGTTATATATAGCTTTATCAATGTCCACGTCCCGCTTCTACAATATTCTATTACCCCACAGCCTCATGACTCACTTCGCCGAGTCGGAGAAAAGAGTGGAGTAGTCAAGGAAAAAGCTGGAGTATCTGACTATGAAAACCTGGGTGAATATGCTGGATGTTCTGCTCTAGACGCCTACAAGCTAGCTAGTTTACCTAGGTTATGCGTGGGCCCATTTTAGCTCGTTCCTTGGAGCATTCGTCCGAGAGGCCTACCTGCGGCCAGACCCAACCTTCACTGAACTAGTTGAAAAGAAGTTCAAGACATCGGCTCGCCGTCCTTGATATAATGCGCAAACGGATCGTTCCTCCAGTCCACATTGCGCACATACTCCATCCCTTCGCTCACTTGGCTGCTCACCACTGTTCCGTACACTGCATCGAGGAAAGCAAACATCAAGTCGATACCCGCTGACACCCCCGATGAGGTCCAGATGTTGCCGTCAGCCACCCATCTTGCTTCGGGTACCCATTTCACCTTCGGGCCGTGCTTCGTGACCCGCTTGTATGCCTGCTTGTTGGTAGTTGCATGTCGTCCATCCAATATACCCGCCTGTGCCAGAAGCTGAGACCCTGTGCAGACAGTCAAGACATACTGCAGATTTGGATAGATTTTCTTGATAAACTCAATTGCTGGCCCAATGTTAGGGCTGTCGGTTCCATAACCGCCGGGGATAAGGAGCACGTCAATTGGCGGGGCGTTCTTGAACGTGTGCGTGGGCATGATGGATTCCCCAAACGTAGATCCGAACTTGTTGATCTGTGATGACCGGACTTGGGTTGAAACTGGGTCCATTGTTTCGGCGATGATGGACAGATTCAGCTTTCGAGCCAGAGAGAAGAGGTTAAGGGCATCAAGGGGACCAAAGACATCCAGCGACTGGAACTCAGGGAAGAGCAACAGTCCAAAGTTCGATGGAAGACCATCATCGGCAGTTGGCTGGGGCGGAGATTGAGAGGTATGGTTAGATAGAGCTTTGACAGCCGTGGCGGATGCTGCCAGGGTCCAGGTGACAGACTTTATGAAGCGCATTTCCAAGGGTCTGTGGTGAATCTCGTGGGCTGATGGTTCAAAACTATTATGCACCTTATTCCTCCAGCGAAGGAAAGGAGATTCCCTTTATATCTCGTTACCGCAAATGAGCACAACGGGCTGTCAGAGGTCCGTTCAATGGAGGGTATCCCAGCAGCCCCTGTTCCACTTCTCACCGCGTCCTACTCCGGTCCACCTGTAAAGGCTAAAGCTGCACAATCCCTTTAGGCTCAGCACTTCAATTGGGCCTGTCCACGCTGAGAATTCGTCGACATAGGCCCGCATCCGTCTTTGTTTCGCGACTTGTCCAACCCCCTTCGCTATCTTCATCAGAAACTCATGGTGGTTCCTGCTCTAGAAGCCCCCTTTACCACCAGGTCCATGCTAGCTAGTGACAAGACTTGTGCCCAATTCCTCGTCAGCTGTATCAGTAGATCATCTCGGAGGGCGGATCGAAACATATCCGTTCTCTTCTTTCCGCATATTTTCCACATCAACGCCCTCCAAGGGTTGACATCCTTAGATATCGCCCTGTCAATACTGGGCCAGGGCGTCTGCCTAAGGCGCGCCTTTGGGACTGAGCTGAGCTAGCAAATATCTCCAAGGTGCGAAATAGCCTCCTGTGAATTTAACTGCAACGAGCCTACGCTGAAGGGGCGATGCCTTTCCGTTTGGTAGTTTGTAAATAGTGAAGAGCATTGCGTCCAGCCTCTGCACCAATCCTGCACAGTAGTCGATGCCAATTAACTTAGTAGGTAAACAATAACAGCAAGGAATGCTTTGGCATACTTCAGTAGTTGAAGACTTTTAACCAACCGGCCGAACCATCTGAATAGTTATTCGATGCAGGTATGTAAACAATATATCTTGCGTAGTCATATCTACCTTATCGTTTGATTGTCAACTAACTAGTTACTTGGAAACCCCAGAAAAATTTTCGACCCCCCAACTAATATTCCAAATTGTCTAGCTATAACTAGCCATCAACATTCTTAAGTATTCAAGCCTTAATGCCTCTTTAATTGTCCAGCTCCATGTAAGATTTACCGGTTACACGTCACCTCAGCGATGTCGCGAGTCTCCAGCTTCTCGGCCTTGCAAAGAGTCTCCGGCTTCTCTCGAGCATTCTTGTCCATCCGCCAAAGAGGTCATCCCTCTAATGGTATGATTGCACCTCTTTATCACTTATATATATTCGAAGCTAACTTCCGTTTCAGACTGGAACTCATGTGAGAGTCTCTTTTCATTCACGCGTGGCCGTTTTGTTGTAGACGAAGCAGATCAAGTTGCACGGCGCTATGTCAAATTCAACATGAATGAACTTGCTCGGATTGCAGCTCAATCGATAGGCGCCAAATTTTGTATTGATATACAAAAATGCCCTGATGGCATGTACAACAAGTGTTATGTCCTAACCATGGACGACGGAAAGGAGGTCATTGCCAAAGTGCCTAACCCTAACGCCGGCCGCCCTCATTTCACTACAGCAAGTGAAGTGGCAACGATGGATTTTGTGAGCTCCTATCTGATTACTGACCTTGCTGTAGATATGACAACTAACCCTGACAGGCCCGTAATGTGCTTGGAACACCGGCTCCAAAGGTGTATACCTGGGATTCTTGCGCAACAAATCCTGTAGGTGTGGAATATATCATCATGGAGAAAATACCTGGTATCCAGCTCAGGCAAGTTTGGAGCCACATGAAACTCGTTGAAAAGATGAATCTTTGCCTTGATCTTGCTCGTTATCAATCTGCATGGCTTTCTGTGACATTCTCACGGTTTGGTGGACTTTATTATACCCAGGACGCGCAGGATCTTAACCCAGGGCAAAAAACTCATCTTTACATTGATGAGAAAGGTAAAAAAGTGCAAAATAGTCGTTTTACAATTGGACCTGTTACGAGCCGAGAATAATGGACTGTGGAAGGGCTGGCTTGGAGTGCGATCGTGGACCATGTAAGCATCTATACATTTACTAAACAGCACACATGTGCTATAGCGCTATAGGGAGGTCTGTTCACGACTATTACAAAGCAATAGGGCATCGGGAAAAGTTGGCTATTTCAACTTTGGGCACTTTGCCAAAACAGACGGTTATGGTATGTGGCCCTAGCCTCTACCAGCCTGATAGAAGCAAAAAGCTATCCACTGTGGAATGATATTTGCAAATTGTCGATGCCCTCATCCCCACTGAAAGTGGGAGTATCACGACACCCTGTCTTTGGCATGACGACCTCCACGATGAGAATATATTTGTTGATCCAAGCAACCCGTCCAAAGTTGCCGGGATTATAGATTGGCAATCTGTCAACATTCTCCCACTCCTTGATCACAATCCTGATGCTTCTTTCATTGATTATGATGGCCCAGAGCCAGAAAATCTGGACCGACCTGAACTTGACAATATCGATGATCTGTCAGAATCAGAAAAAGTAGAGGCGGTACGGAAATTCCACCAGAAGGCTCTATTCATTGCCTCACGAAAGATTATGTTGAAAAAGGTTCCTAAGACGTATGATGCGATTGAGTATCAACGAACAGAGAGTTATGATCTACTTGTTCTAGCACGCCGCTTGCTCGAGTTTGGTGAAGCTCATTTCCATGCACTCGTAGTAGAATTGCGTGAGGCATGGGCGGGACTTCCGGCAAACAATACCAACATGAACCATACCAAAGCTTTTCCCATTACACCTACTAAGGATCAAATAGCTGAGATCCGAATTGATTGTCAGAATGCGATTCGTGGAATGCAGATTATGAATGATTTCAAAGTCCGACTTGGTCCACTCTGGCCGGACAAGGATGCAGTAGGCCATGAGCAGTACAACGCGACAAAGGATGCCCTCCGAGTACTGAGAGAAGAAATAATACAGGAATTTGGAAAGTCTGAAGCAGATAAGATTGGAATAAAACATCAATGGCCTTTTGATGGTTAGTAGGCTCCTCCTTAGCTACCTTCTCCCTCGGCTTCTCTTTAGGCCCATTTCACTAGAAGCCTCTCTTAAAATTCCTCTTATCTCTACCACAATAATGCTATAAGATAGTAGGGAGGCTATAAAAGAGAGGGCCATAGAGGACTAGTGAGCTAAGGAAGCGCCTACAGGGAAGAGCTGGCGCATGCAGGCCTAGGGCAGAAGCAGAGCATGGGCCAAGGGGGTTAGAGAGAGTAGCTTAGTAGTTAAGTACAGCCTTTCTTATCATCCAATAATGTCTCTAAATCCACTTAGCAATAAGATAATATGACTAGGATGCTACCTCTGTGTGTTGAAATTCAAAATTCATACTATATAACAACCTTGATAGATCTAACGAGTACTTTCCAATCAAAATTGTCCATGATATAATGACTATCTCTGCAGCCAATCAAGGGCCTCTCCTTTCTGGTCCAGCGGTTTGACACGATATTAGTTATAGTCGTGGTACCTAAGCGTTGTACCGCATTTCATCAGAGAGAACTCGGTCATAGTAACGGAACCACCCCTTATCAACGGGACAAGGGGAAGGAGTTCCTCCTGGAGTTAAGAATCGATGGCCAAGAAGCTGGTATAGATTGTTCGACGGGAGTGGCTGTTGCTGCGGGAAATGGGACCCGATATCGGGATAAATATAGTTGTAGCGCACTAGCTGCGCGATAGCTTGGGTACTAGGGATCGAATATATATTAGATATAGCACTGTCAATTATAAGTACGGGTTGAGACAATAAGCCTTACACGAAGTCACGGCACCCGTAGTATTTTTCATCCACAGTGCAGAAATAGAAATGATGGAGGTGGTTGTCGGTGATGGCTCTGATTAT